TAGCTCGACTATTCGATAAGAATAAGTAGAGCTATTGCAGTCACCCGAGCGTCGGCGTCGGCGTAACCACTTATGTTAAAGTTTTTGTAATAGTTCAAATATTTTCAAAGTCCATTGACATATGGCTTTGAAACTTTGCACACTTGTTCACCATCATGACCCCAACCTGTAGACAGGAGGAGGTAACTCTATCAAGCATTTTGACAGAATTATGCCCCTTTTTCGACTTAAGAATTTACGTTAAAGTTTTTGTAATAGTTCAAATATTTTCAAAGTCCATTGACATATGGCTTTGAAACTTTGCACACTTGTTCACCAGCATGACCCCAACCTGTAGACAGGAGGAGGTAACTCTATCAAGTAATTTGACAGAATTATGCCCCTTTTTCGACTTAGAATTTACGTTAAAGTTTTTGTAATAGTTCAAATATTTTCAAAGTCCATTGACATATGGCTTTGAAACTTTGCACACTTGTTCACCATCATGACCCCAACCTGTAGACAGGAGGAGGTAACTCTATCAAGCATTTTGACAGAATTATGCCCCTTTTTCGACTTAGAATTTACGTTAAAGTTTTTGTAATAGTTCAAATATTTTCAAAGTCCATAGACATATGGCTTTGAAACTTTGCACACTTGTTCAACATCATGACCCCAACCTGTAGACAGCAGGAGGTAACTCAATTAAGCATTTTGACAGAATTATGCCCCTTTTTCGACTTAGAATTTACGTTAAAGTTTTTGTAATAGTTCAAATATTTTCAAAGTCCATTGACATATGGCTTTGAAACTTTGCACACTTGTTCAACATCATGACCCCAACCTGTAAACAGGAGGAGGTAACTCTATCAAGCATTTTGACAGAATTATGCCCCTTTTTCGACTTAGAATTTACGTTAAAGTTTTTGTAATAGTTCAAATATTTTCAAAGTCCATTGACATATGGCTTTGAAACTTTGCACACTTGTTCACCATCATGACCCCAACCTGTAAACAGGAGGAGGTAACTGTATTAGGCATTTTTTTTACTATCAAGCACTAAGAATAGTCGAGCATGCTGTCCTACCGACAGCTCTTGTTATGTTTTAAAAGCATGATAATATACATATATGATATTTCATGTAAGTGTGGTTACATCATAAATTATAACATACAGGATCTTTAAGTTATGAAATTCAGTATATGAAAATGCCTTTTGTGACAAATTTTGTTACAGTTACATTTATTATCACAAAGCAAAAATGATAAATTACTTACTGATTGTTTTAGGCCTATAATAATGCAGAATGGACAAATTTCTCATTTCCAATATTTTTGAAAACTTTAAGTAGTATTTCAGCATGCCCATTCACGCACTTCAGTGCGTAAATTACGCACAAAATTCTAGATGCACGCATAAAAATCGTAAGCAGGGGGTACATGCACGCAAAGTAAAATCGTCCGAATGAATGTTTGGGATAGCCTATGTACGCTTAATTTTGCCTGGGGACGCATCAAACGACCACAAATACACAAATACGTCAGCGCGTGTCAGTCTATAGGTAGGCGGTCCTATGCACATCGACCCGTGAAGGGATTAGCCAATCAGCAATAACACTTTCAATCATTATCACGCAATAGAGATCACACTAATGTATACACGCGCTGTACATGTAATAACAGATATAACACGAGGTGATAATTTAACATCTTTGATCAACAGTTGATTGGAAATTAGCAAATTTTACCGACAAAAGGATAAGAATATCAACTATTTACGCCACAAGTTTAAAGACTGTTTTCTCAAATTACAAATGAGTGTAATTTTGAATTATTCTCGAAATTTTCGGCACTTTCTAAGCAAAATTTTGCTTTCGTTTCATTCTTGCAAAAACGTTCTATAAGAGTTTTAATAATTTAACATATTGTGCCGAAATGCCAGGACAACTAACAAAAATACACATATGCTTTTCTTTGATCCGAAAATTGATCCCGAACATCGGCGATTTCATGTTCGCCGGAATTTCAGAAACCCTAAAATTTCGCAAAAATTTTCAGTTTCCAAGCCAAACATGAGAATGAATTGTTACTTTATTATTAAATCAGCATTAAATCTTTATATATCGATCTTCAATTTGCCCCCATTTTGAAGATATTTGCTAATATAATTGTCGATCGGATGAATCTAACACACTGTGTGAAGCTGTACACGATGTTCCTATTCATTCCGCTAAACGCTGCCTATATACATTTACGTTTTTTTTTTACAAATATAAACTATTTGTCTATAGAGTGGACTTATTTATCCAGAATAAAATTTGATTTGGTATAAAGGTGAAAAAAACAAACAAACAAAAAACGATTTCCATGTGTTGATGCATTAAAATGAAATAATTTCATGAAAAATATTAACAAAACAAAACAATAATTATACTATATTATACTACATTCAGAGATCTGCCGAGGACGCGATTTTGCGCCATTGGCGCTAAAAAAATGAGAATGGCGCAGGAAAATCGGCAGCAAAGGGCCATGGGCGCATCTAAAATCTGTGCCAGACTTATAAGAAAACAAAACTGTCTGCTGGGTTATTTAGTCATCCAGTCAAAACTGGTACCAACAGCAACATGTTACCCATGCTCCTGTAATTACGTATATTCTTGAGTTTATCCATTCCCCTATAGCTTTTGTCCATGTTATCTACTTACCGCATTTCTTCTCATAATCCCTTTCCCACACAGATACTCATTTCTACTACCGTAAATTTAATCCAATAAAACAAACAAACAAATTATACAACTACTTAATATTTAAAATGATTATCGGTAACTGAAAAAAAAGTGTTGCTATTTTAAGAAATGCTGTAAGTTACAGTATAATCTGACAGGTGTTCAACTTGATCAACCCTAAGGTCACTCAAGTTCACGCAAGTTTTGGCTGATGAAGTGTAAAAAAAGATGTATATTTGGTCATCAGAATGTTTGACAGGGTGATTAACCAATCAGAGAAACATTGTGCATGACTTTTTTCATTATCAAAAGGTCTGTCGGCAAATGTCTTTGATGTATGCTGTCTACACAGAGGCATACAAGGGGCAATAAAATTCGTCAATATACAGTGGTAAGGGACATTTGGTGCAAAGTAGGAACAATTAAATGGATAATGCACAATATAAGACATTACAAGTAAGAACCAGCAATTATGTGAATAAATTTGCATATCAAATTTTTGAGCAGCCATTTAAAAAATATTTTCATTTTTGCCTGCAATTAATATTAGTTAGAAAGTTACCATGTAGGCATAATTTTTAATTATTGGTAAAGTACTGAATTATAAGTGAACCACTTGTCATAAAATATGATTTAAGTTTTATTACCGGGGAAATTCAATTATCTACAAACTTTTTAACAGTTATTTTGGTCAATGTTTACTTATTTTCCCAAGGCCCATACTTTGGTAAAAATGGCCCATCATTTTCAGACCAAGTGGGCCCAGGGCCCAGTACTTTCAAATTCTTGGCAGATCTCTGTACATTTATATAAAATGTTCTTACAAACAAAAACATGTTTAAACTTATGTGTACCCCCAGATTTTGAAATGTACCCCCAATTTTCAATGACAGGGGGTACATGTACCCCTACATTTAAAATTGAGTGGGCATGCTGTATTTGTGAAGGATGTCAAAGTACTGATTGTGTTTGTATTGTATTGAGATTCCCAAATGGCAATTTTAGTGTGTGTTTTGTTCTTCTTTAATTATATTATATAGAATATAGCATTTATGCTGTCCAATCATGCTCTGCACTGTTATTCAGTCAGTGTATACATGTATTTTGAAATTAATCCTGAAAAAAAAGATGAATGGTCACAGGGATCGAAAAGTATTTATGAGTAGAGATAGAGACATTTCTAGTACCCTGCTGGTCTTGTCCAAATTGAATGATAGTCGAGTCCATTTAAGAAACTTAGCATGGTAAAAATTAAAGAGCAGATTATTATAATGGAGGAGATTATGACTATTGAGTAAGGTAGTGGAGCAGTTATGATGCTACCAACTTGACTGCGCATGTCTTCAGTAATGTACAGATGATGTTTGCTATACATGACCTCTGGAATTGGGCATATCTTTTAACTTTGTGTGGCTTTGTAGCTTAAAAGCATACACACAAGCAAACTCTATAATATAAATATGAAATATTTCTTGTCATTTAATAGGTTATATATACATCAATGGTTTAAAGTTACTGTTTTCATAATTTACACGTTTTTTCATATATTTCAGAATTTGATGAAATGCATTTACTACCTGAGCCGCTTTTTTCTATACCCACTGACAACACGTACATCATGAATATAGTTGGTACAGAAACTGGTAGAATATTTATGGCAGGAAAAGATGGATGTTTGTATGAACTAGCATATCAGGTAGGTTGTTGTAAAGAGACGATGTGGGAGGGCAGTGTTTAACGGAGATTGTGGGAGGGCAGTGTTTTAAGGGAGTTAGTGGGAGGGTAGTGTTTTAGGGGAGAAAGTGGGAAGCTAATATTTCTGAAAGACAGTGGGAGGACAGGAGGGCAGTGTTTGAGGTGAAAGTGGAAGGGCAGTGTTAATGGTTAATGGTGGAAAGCCAATATTTCTGAAAGACTATGGGAGGACAGCGTTTTAGTGAGATAGTTGGAGGGAAGTATTTAAGGGAGGTTTGATTTATTTATTTTGTATGCCGATTTAACATATTTTTAATCATTTCATAGCTCTTGATCCTCTATAATCTGCTTTCTCAGATAACTAACCAGTATTTACTAGTTTCTCCACAAGTAAATGACTGCTCATTACATATAAATTTTAAATCAGAGTTGAGAGACAAATGAGCATTAGACTCAATGTCCAAGATCATTTGCCACAAACAAGTTATGCATAGCCCAAGGATGGGACCAGCAGCAGGAGACCGGTGCTTAAGGATGATAATGGCATGGGTGAAAGTTTTCAGGATTATTCCTGATGTTCAGGATTTTCAGTCTCCTGAAAGCCTTCTATTTCCTATGTAAAACTATAGAAAAACTGCTAAATTCAGGAAATTTTCAGGATTTTTAATATTTCTAACTTTCACCCATGTAATGGAAGATCATTCTGTTACAGAAAATTGTCTTATTAGGTCAGATATCTTTATCTTTTATTTTGATGCTAGCATACGAAACATCAGTGATTCTCAGGGTGTTCATTATTAACAAATTGGTGATCCATATCATCGGTTGAAATGCAGTTAAAATAGGTTGTATTTTTAGCCTGCAGATTAAAATATCCCTTCTGAACCATGGTCAGATGGGTTGTTTTTGTTTGCACATCTGTTGCCTCAGATAAAAATGAAAAACCTGGGTCTTTCCTGAAATAATGCACAAAGGGGCACTGGAAATGTTCCTTTATCAGAAAAAGGTGGAAAGTCGCTATATGGCCTGTACTGTGTTGCTGCGAAGAAAAACCCTCCAAAAAAACCATCCCATTACTATTTTATATATTGCATTCCTTAGTCATCTTTCTATGATATTTCAGATTTATTTAGTATTTACAGAATTTCAACATTATGCTTATTTTAGGCTGATGATGGCTGGTTCAGCAGAAAATGTCGTAAAATCAACCATTCAACAAGTACCCTGTCTTTCTTGGTTCCTTCATTTCTAAATTTCTCATTTAGTGAAGAAGGTAAGATCATTCGTCCATACAACATTAGCTATGATTTGGTTATGTTCCTAACAGAACAAGTATTTTTTAGCTCGACTATTCGATAAGAATAAGTAGAGCTATTGCAGTCACCCGAGCGTCGGCGTCGGCGTAACCACTTATGTTAAAGTTTTTGTAATAGTTCAAATATTTTCAAAGTCCATTGACATATGGCTTTGAAACTTTGCACACTTGTTCACCATCATGACCCCAACCTGTAGACAGGAGGAGGTAACTCTATCAAGCATTTTGACAGAATTATGCCCCTTTTTCGACTTAGAATTTACGTTAAAGTTTTTGTAATAGTTCAAATATTTTCAAAGTCCATTGACATATGGCTTTGAAACTTTGCACACTTGTTCACCATCATGACCCCAACCTGTAGACAGGAGGAGGTAACTCTATCAAGCATTTTGACAGAATTATGCCCCTTTTTCGACTTAGAATTTACGTTAAAGTTTTTGTAATAGTTCAAATATTTTCAAAGTCCATTGACATATGGCTTTGAAACTTTGCACACTTGTTCACTATCATGACCCCAACCTGTAGACAGCAGGAGGTAACTCTATCAAGTATTTTGACAGAATTATGCCCCTTTTTCGACTTAGAATTTACGTTAAAGTTTTTGTAATAGTTCAAATATTTTCAAAGTCCATAGACATATGGCTTTGAAACTTTGCACACTTGTTCAACATCATGACCCAAACCTGTAGACAGCAGGAGGTAACTCTATTAAGCATTTTGACAGAATTATGCCCCTTTTTCGACTTAGAATTTACGTTAAATTTTTTGTAATAGTTCAAATATTTTCAAAGTCCATTGACATATGGCTTTGAAACTTTGAACACTTGTTCAACATCATGACCCCAACCTGTAAACAGGAGGAGGTAACTCTATCAAGCATTTTGACAGAATTATGCCCCTTTTTGTGTCGCCTTGAAAAGGTGACATATAGGGGTTACTTTTGTCGGCGGTGTCGGCGGCGGCGTCTGTGTCGGCGTCGTTGTCGGTGTCGTTGTCGGCGTCGTTGTCGGCGTCCCCTAAAGCTTGTCCGGAGCATAACTCAGTCACTATAAGTCTGATTGACTTCAAACTTGGTATGCATGCTTCTTTCAATAACCCGAAGTGCAGTGCACAAGAACTGGTACTCTGCAGTTCTTATTTTTTGAGTTATTGCCCTTTGTTAATTTTCATACTTTAATTTTGTCCAGGCCATTTCTCTTCAACTAAAAAAGCTATGGACTTGAAACTTCATAGGATGATAGATCTCATTATTAAGAAGTGCAGTGCACAAGAACCAGTACTCTGCACTTCCTAATTTTTGAGTTATTGCCCTTTGTTAATTTTCATACTTTATTTTTGTCCGGGCCATTTCTCCTAATGTATAAAAGCCATGGACTTTAAACTTCATAGGATGATAGGTCTCATTAAGAAGAAGTGCAGTGCACAAGAACTGGTACTCTGCATTTCTTATTTTTTGAGTTATTGCCCTTTGTTATTTTCATACTTTAATTTTGTCCGGGCCATTTCTCCTTAAGTATAAAAGCTATGGACTTGAAACTTCATAGGATGATAGATCTCATTATTAAGAAGTGCAGTGCACAAGAATCGGTACTCTGCATTTCTTAATTTTTGAGTTATGGCCCTTTGTTAATTTTCATACTTAATTTTTGTCCAGGCCATTTCTCCGAAAGTATAAAAGTTATGGACTTGAAACTTCATAGGATGATAGATCTCATTAAAAAGAAGTGCAGTGCATAAGAACTGATACTCTGCATTTCTTATTTTTGAGTTATTGCCCTTTGTTGATTTTCTTACTTTATTTTTGTCCTGGTCATTTCTACTCAAGTATGAAAGCTATGGAGTTGAAACATCATAGAATGATAGATCTTATTGATAAGAAGTGCAGTGTACAGAAACTGCTGCTCTGCACTTATTATTTTTTGAGTTATTGCCCTTTGTTATTTTTCATATTTCATTTTTGTCCTGGCCATTTCCCCTAAACTTCATTGTTCACAAGGCGACACATCCGACTCACGGAGTTCTAGTTCGACTTAGAATTTACGTTAAAGTTTTTGTAATAGTTCAAATATTTTCAAAGTCCATTGACATATGGCTTTGAAACTTTGCAAACTTGTTCACCATCATGACCCCAACCTGTAAACAGGAGGAGGTAACTGTATCAGGCATTTTTTTTACTATCAAGCACTAAGAATAGTCGAGCATGCTGTCCTACCGACAGCTCTTGTTACCCCTATTCTCTGACAAAAAGTGTGTGTTGAAACTTTAAAAAAAAAAAATTTGACTTTTTTGTTGGTGGATGAGGATACTGGCTATTAAAAGTAAAATGAAAAAGAAAGACTTCCAGTCAAACTTAAGTTTATGTAGATTGTAATATGAAGATTTTGTTTATATTATGAGGTGCATTAATTGCCAAAAAATGTAATTTATATTTGCAAATCAATACCTCCTCTCTTGGTAAAAGCAATTTAGCCTTGTAATGGTTAGGCACAAAATTTAATCAAATTTTGACAAACTATTAATTTATACATGATGGACGAGCAACAAATGGGAAATCTATTTTGTTTTCAGATCCACTAGTGCAGATCAGGGTAGATAACTCACGAAACATACTTTATTGTCGGACAGAGAAAGGTTGTCTTCAAGTTTATGATCTCGGACAGGATGGTAAAGGATTAAGCAAAACAGCTGCCATACCATTACAAAATATTGTACATAATGCCTCTCATGTAGCTAGGTAAGGCATTGCTTGTTTTACGAGTTCAAGATTGCATTGGCACCATTCATTTAAGTTTCTGATTGACTACAAAATATGTGCTATTTAAAAATTAAATAAAAAATACTTATTCACTATAATTATGCCATTTGCCATCAGGGCTAAAGATGGAAAAGGTAGATCATGTATATAGCAAATGAGTATGTTTAATATAAGAAACTGTAACAAGAGACCAAAAATAAACAGGTTTTAAGAAATAAAAATGATAGCATTTCTGAGGCATAATGGGCCTTTAAAAAAGAAATACAAAACAAACGTTATGGGCAAAAATTCTTTTTTTCAGAACAATAGACAGATCAAATTTCAAGCCCATTGTACATATATCTCCTATAGAGAAGCCAGAATCTAATAATGTACATCTAGTCGCAATAACACAAACAGGTGAGTCAATAGGTAATATTTACAACAACTTGTTCACATAGATAGCAGTGATCTTTTTCCTGTATTTTCAGTCAAGTAAAGGCTGTTTCCCCTATCCCAAAATAGGTATATTTTTCCCAAAAAAATGCGAAAAATTATCCCCTAAAATGCCCTGTGCACATTCTTCACAAGAGCAGCTGACTTACATCAGCTAGGAGAAAGAATCCTTTCCGTATAGAAAGCCTCTGCTGTGTACTATGCATGTTAAAAAATTGAACTAAAATTGAAAATTTTGTGTGGTTAAATTTCATGCTCAGTTGTTGGAATTTGATTTTTCCCTTTCTGATTTAACTCGCTATATTTTCCCCTTCAGAAAACCACAGGTTGTTTTGAAAATTGAAAAAAAAAATCACTCGATAGTGAAGCTGTGTTGCAATCCATCTTCCTTGTTAGGTTTGCCAGTTGATACCAGTTTTCACATTATTTCAGTCAACTTTCAAATGAGTTGATACTTCACTCTGCAACAGTAAATGAACTATCTTTTTTTACCCATAATTAACGTTCAAGTTCACCAGTTGAATATTTTGAACCAAGATAACTATTATAAGACATTGGTTGAAAACAAATTGTGAAAGCAAAAACTTGGTTCACACCCAGGACTTAAACATAAAAACAAAAGATCCATACTGTTCAGGTTTGAAGTTTAGCCATATTTATTATATATAGTTGGCTTAAAACAGTAATTGTTAATGCATGATTACCGTACTTATAACTCATACTCTTCTTTAATAATAACTTAAGAGAGACTTGTCCGTCTTTAAGTCCAGAATAAACCATTCATCAATGTTAGGGAATATTTTAACATATGTGCTGACTGAATAGCGTATTATGCAGACAATGTTCAGACAGTACTAGTATATTTACCATTAGGCCAAGTGTTAAACTCTGATTTTCAGGAGTAAGACTGTATTTTACAACAAATCCATTTGGCACGCTGAAGGATCGACCCAGCATGCTCACATTGGTTCATGTTCGACTCCCACCTGGGTTCCTCACATCTGCAGCGCCACAACGACCAAACAATGTTCATATGGCATACTATAAACAAGGTAAGCAATCTTGGGAATACCAGACTTGTGATATTCTGTGAATTGTGATTTTGTCATTTGGACATTTTCATTGGTTTAATTTGAATTTGTTGTCCGTTTTTGCAAAACAGTTAAATGCAAAAAAAAATGCAAAATAATCTTACAGCAGAAAAAAAAAAATTCATTTCATCTTAAATTCTTGGACTGACATATCCACTTAAACTGTAAATATTAGTGACCCACGATTTGTATTGATTATGCAGTGTATAATACTTTAATATAATTATCAAATTTATCAAATATTCACTTTATACTATGATGTTATGTTGAAAAATGTAAGGATAAGAATAAAGAGAAAAGCTAAAGAATTTATAAATTGCCATCTGAGACAGAGTGGGTTTCACCTAATCTAAATTATAAGTAATCTAGCACATGGACTTTTGCATTTTGATGATGTTACTTGGAAAGTTTTACTTCTGGGTTTTGGTTAACAGTTATTTTATCAAACCCTAAAGCTGTGATCAGTATATTTTGAAAAATTAAATTTTTAGACTTTTGCAGATTGCAATTTTACAGGAATTTTAAGATGAAATCATTATTATATAGTATTAATGTATGTAATATAAAGTATATTACATGAATGTTGACTAATATGTTGATGACTTCAGGTTGTATGATATTGTTGTCATCACAAGGTGAGAACAGAGATCTTATGTGGACAATTGGTAGCGACTCATTCCCTTTCCAGAATCAACTCATGGAATCTCATGTATGTAAATTTTCAGAAACAAATGCTGTTGCAATCCTCAAATTAATGGATTTTTGCAGACATCGACCTATATACATATATTTAGACTCCAGGGGATATTGCAGTACAAAAAATTATTGTGGATAATTTTAAAACATCATTTTGTCTTATGTTTTGAAGGTTTTTGAACTGAAAGTTTTGGTCGATTGACTTTTAAAAGTGACATGAATATTAAAGATTAGGAGCTAACTTTGTCAACAGTTAATGAAACATAAAGAGCTTTCATGAATATTGGTTATTAGACTACCATAAGTTGATAACTTTTGCCATATCTGATGTATTACAATGTATTATACTACTCAGGTGTCCTCCACAGCTAATAAGGTATCTGATTTTGAATCACTTTCACCCTACCACAATGGGTAAGAATTTTGCTGGGAACTATGAATTTTTATGTGAGTAAGCTATCAAGCTAGTTTATGGAAATGTGTAGGATTTACTCAAGCATGCACTTGTGTTTAATACAATTGTCTAAGTGGCATCTGCCAGTGATATTTTGAATTTCCCATATGACCTTTGCAGTAGTGATGTGATTTAAATTCATAGGATGAAAAATTATATGGAATTGCTCCATGTTTGGTATGTGAAATATAGCTCAGAAATATTGATTTAAGCCGTATGAACATTAAAATTATATTTTCAACTTTGCAGACGACACTAGGTATTGAAGGCAGAACATGGTCTATCAGTGAGGTTGAGTATGTTAAGCCTCAGTGTGAGCAGGGTCCGTTTGCTAGAGATCCCCCGGTTGTAGTCACGCAGCACGCCAAACCACCTAGAAAGTTTGTCATTCTAAGTGCACAGGTAACAACCCCTATGTTATCTTTGATATGTGAAATATACTTAATAAATTAAAATATGCTTAAAATTTTTATTCGAATTTAATTATTAGGCCTCCATAAAATGGACACATGGCATCTGTGGTATAGTGGTTGAGATTTGTGACTTTTAATCATTTGTGCCCAGAGGTTGTAATCATGCTGCTCACTTTCTTCCATAAGAAATAGAAATAGGAAGCTATCGAGCTACATTTGAGCCGCGTCATGACAAAACCAACATAATGGGTTTGCTACCAGCATGGATCCAGACCAGCCTGCGCATCCGCGCAGTCTGATCAGGATCCATGCTGTTCGCTTACAAACCCTTTAAGAAGTAGAGAAACTGATAGCGAACAGCATGGATCCTGATCAGACTGCGCGGATGCTCAGGCTGGTCTGGATCCATGCTGGTCGCAATCGCACTATGTTGGTTTTGTCATGACAAGGCTCATGTAGCTTATAGAAGATATTCTACTCTGGAATCTTCCTGTGCCTGAAGAAAAACTCGTAAGAATACCTTCATCCTTTAAAGCTGGAACGTCACCATTTGACCTTTACAGTGTCACATTGACTTAAAACTGGTGTTAAAAAAAACAACAAAAGATCTGAAACTTGGAGTCATTGTCAGACTAACAATTTTATAGACATAGATATTTGCATGACAAAAAGTAGCAAAGAGGGAAAAAAATAAAAACAAATGTGTATACAGTATAATTCACTTTCAGAAGTCATTGATTAATGTTACTTTTTCATTTGGATTTCATGGAGTCCCCTTTTACCTGACAAAATGGTTTTGTTTATATACTAGGGAAGTCACATTATGAGTAAATTACGACCAGTAGATCAACTCAGACAACTACTGATAGATTGTCAGGGACCTGATGCTGATGAAGTCAAAGCTTTCTTCAGATTACATAAGGTGAGTCGGACAAAGATTCTAGTCGAAATCTTATACAATCATTTCACAAGATATTGCTTGTTGGTCAGAGTAAAAGTCTATCCTTAAAATCCTTATGTTTTTTATGGCTGAGTTGTTAGGTAGAGATAAAAAAAAATCTTTGGGTGTGAAGTCACATACATATATCTTGATTTACTGTCTTAGTGATATTTTGAAGACAAAGTATACTCATTTCAACAAAACATTTAAAAAATTTTGATCCTTTTTGTGTTTATTCACATACATATATGATATTGCATAATACTAAGTAAATATCAGGGTTCACATTTGATACTGGCCCTGACTATCATAAATTTCTTTAATGAACTTGGTCTGCACTGGCAGCATGGGTAAAATTGGTTTACCACCACAAGGCTAATTGTTAGTTATGTTAATAAATAAATGGCTTTGCAGTACATATATATATAATAGTTATAAAGATTTGTGACAGGTTTTATGGCCTCTTGTAAATGGTGGTTTGCATATATGACCCATGTCAGTATTTACTTCATAAATTGACTTCAGCCATGTATATGGTTTATATCAACATCATGATTATCCAATAAAAAGTGACGTTACAAACATGCATTATTATAATTGTTGTTTCAGATTGAACAAGCTTGTGCTACATGTCTAATTTTGGCATGTGCGAGACTAGCCACAGACCAGCAGGTTGCAGACTGGGCCAAGATGGCTTTCTTCTTGTACGGTGGTGAGGCAAAATACACATTTGGAGCTGGCCAGGATAGACCTATGAAGCTAATGCCTAGTGATATTGGCCCTTCTGGTAAATGTTTGAAGTTTTATCAAGATAATGTGAAATTGTTATTGACACTTTTTGACCAGCTTTTGTTAGATATGGATAATATGAATCAGACTTATACAGGTGCTGAAAATTGTTAAAGTGAATTGGTCTATAACGGAATGTCTATAATACCATAGATAATTATAATGGTGTTGAGAGTATTTAGTAACATACATGACAACAAACCACAAAAAGAATTATATATTGATGTTGCTGGTAAGTGTGAGACACATGATACAATTTTACATATCTATATATAAGCAAACTTATTTGTTATCCCTAATCCCTTTTATACTTGATTAATGAAATAATCATTAAAACATTTTGGCCATAAAAACTTGCATAGATTCTCATTGAATATGTGTACATATATACTGTAGATGGTGGTGGTGGATTTGGTATGAGTCAATCAATGTACACTCCAGGTCCTGTACAACATCAACAACAGCAGAATATGTCTGCATTCCCAACTCCCATGCCAGGTAATATGTAACAGAAATTGTTAATTTTTATTGTTGAAATACTAACATCACTCTTTTAAATTGATATTTTATTTGCAAGAGATTAGTACTTGCAAAGATAATTTGATTGTTGGGCAAGCAAAATATAAATATTTAGACCTTTATAAAGTTTTCATGACAGTCAGGAAAGGTTTTTGTTTTAAGATGACTTAAGAAGTCTTAACATTGGTAAAGCTTAGATATCTAATCACGTTAGATTAATCATAAAAAGTTGATAGTTTCAAAGTCAAAAGCATGTCCAGTATACAAATTTTCACTCACCATTTACACTTGGACGGGTATAATGTTACTTTAAACCATACTGAAACTTAAATAAAAATATCTCGAAAGATAAATAATGACTGTTTTGTGTGATTTAGGAATGCATCCTAACCAGGCGTCTACGCCGATGCAGTTTGATAATCAACCGATGTACCATCAGCAATCAGATGGTCTGCCGCGGTTTATGAAGAATATCAGCTTCTCAGGAAAACACAATGGAATCTGCCTGTACCTAGCCAGAATACTCAGGTATGATAAAATGCCTAAATTTGCATGGAAAAATATATAGCATTTATAGTTACAAAAGTCCAGATTTTTAATGTGAATTTATAAACAATGGTATAGCAATATGTATGTAACAAAGGAATAAGGTCAATAGGGAGAGCATTGGATTTGTACTAAGATGGTTGCTGGTTTGATCCAAGCGAGGTGAAATTTCTACTTGACAGTTGATATGGGACATTTAGGTTACTCACCTCTGATTAAAAAGTCATCATAGATTAATAGGTGTTCACTTGGGAAGAAATTGGTAATTACTGGTTAGTTATCCATGAAAGACAGTTAGGTGGATTGACTGCCAAGATATTACCAAAATGTGTTAAAATTGGTGTACATACAAAACCTCCTTGGCCGAGGGGTTAGAGTCTATGACTTCTAATCCAGTTACCTCTCTGGCGTGGGTTCGATCCCTAGGAGATGCTTTGGTAGTTTAGCACGGAGGAAGGTAGTCTAGTACTGGTGTAACTCTCCAGGAACGATGGTTAGGAAACTACCCACCTATATGACTGAAATACTGTTGGGAAAAGGCATAAAATGAAACAAACAAACAGACAAACAAAAATAATATTTTATTTACAGACCTATATGGGACATGATGGTAACAAAGGAATATTCTTGTCAAACACCAGAGGGATCTATTAACTACGTAAGTAAAGAAAATTTTGCAGAAAATAAAACTTTTAATAAAGTGCGAGAATGGTCTGTTTATCATAAAAATATGAAAAAAATAAGATTGGTTTCAGCTTTATTTACAATAAGAACATTGAGATGCATGTGAAGGAGGTAAATATTACACATCACAGTACATTTGCAGGAAATGGAAACAAAGTTGGTGAAAAATCATTACAGTTAAAAATAAAATAACTTTAATGTCTTTTCAGAACCAGTAGCATGATCTTTACTTAAGGTTTAATATAAAAAGTATTATAAGCTTAATTTGTGATTGACTCCCTTTAGATTTTACAGAATTTATTTTAGTTTGGTTGTGTAGGAAGCTATAACCTTCTAGACATGTTTTCGAATCTGTCCCTACAACAAACAAGTACTGAGCAATGAGGAAAGTATGTCCTTTGATTGATTGGCAATGGGTTCATTCACTGGACCTTCCTAAAACGGACATAAATCGTTTGGTATCTGATATGGTTGTCAGAAATTATGACAATAAAACATTTCAGATAAAAAATGGCATAAAATGGCCTTTGACAAAAATACTTTCAAGAGTGTCATAAAAGCAGCAAAAAGTGTATTTGTTGTGATTATTGATTTTAGTAATTATATAGTTTGAAAGTACTGAAGATTATATTTCAGGTGACTTGTAATTTTCCCAGTGATGACCTCGGCTTTGTGTTGGAAAATGTACGAGAGCTGTCTGACTTTGTTGACTTTAACTCAAAATTTGATATGGGACCAACAGATACAGGGTAGAGTAGTCATATTAATTTTGTAACAATTTAACATGATGATGAATGAAATGGTGTGGTAAATGAAACATTTTAGACTTATACAGTTGCCTTTTTTTGAGCATTTGAAATTTATCTAGTCAATCTGAAACATTTAAATAGATGATTTTACCTGAATGACCAAATTATACTGAGAGAAAAAAAAGGCACAAAAGAAAACATAATATTATTGATAATTTGTATAATTAAGAAGCTAATATGTGTCCATTTATATGTGGGCTGATTTGTGTATTTATAGTACATGAGGATTGGCTCTGTAACAACATAACTTTTATAGAAAATTTTAATATTCCAGTGATATATTTTAGGGCAAAGATAGATTGAGCCAAATTGATAGTTTGTCCTTTTAAGCCCTTGCAAAGTGCTTATGTGGCAGAAATTATGCTGTTATGAATAGGCACTAGAAAGAAAAAACTAATAACTAAATGGAGTGAGTGGAGTGATGGTCTAGCTGTTTAAAGTGATAAAATGTTTCTTATTAGTGTCTAATTGGCTATCACTGTTCTTCTTTGAGTATTTCACATGGTTTATGCAAATAGATGTAACATTAAGATAAAAAGAAAACTGTTAAAGACAGATTAGGGGGAAAAGATAGCCAGAAATTTACAAAATTAAGCCCTGTCGTTTGTCGAAAAAGTAGGTCAAATACTCAAAAAGCTTTTATCTCATTTACTGATAAAAAAACTGTCTAATAATTGTTACAAGATTATTTTTTTCCAAGATGGTATTTTAAGTGCAGATGTATTAAATGCATTTAAATTTTACCCAAAAGTAGTACTTGACAATTTTGTAATAACTTTATCTTTTGGTTTAAACAATATTTATTTCTTCATCAATATTAACAGACAAAATTACAATATATAAATTGCATTCAGGATTCAGTAGAAAGCTTAAAGCTTATATGAAACTTTTACCTTTTTATTATAGTGGTTTAGATGGAGGTCCTTTCCCAAACCAGATGATGAGATTATATGATGAACAGACCATGATGAAGATGCAAGGTGAACATTTATTAAAATTTGTAGAAGAAAATATATATATGAGCCGTGTCATGACAAAACCAACGTAATGCGTTTGCGACCAGCATGGATCCAGACCAGCCTGCGCATCCGCGCAGTCTGATCAGGATCCATGCTGTTCGCTATCAGTTCCTATACTTTTTATAGGGTTGGTAAGCGAACAGCATGGATCCTGATCAGACTGCGCGGAAGCGCAGGCTTGTCTTGATCCATGCTGGTTGCAAAACGATTATGTTGGTTTTGTCATAATGCAGCTCATATATGAAGATATTGTGGACACATAAAAAGGAACAACAATAAAACCAAAGACCCTTCAGTTTGTTTATAAAAGAATTACAAAGATATTTTGGACAAATAAAAAAAACCACCAATAAAAGCAAAAACCCTTCAGTTTGTTTATAAAAGAATTACAAAAAAAGTCTTAAATATGCAGGCACAAGCCTCAGTGGCCAAAATACCCTTGATTAAGAAATAAATACCCCCTTGGTATTGTTATTTGCAACAATGATTGAAAAGACATCTCAGTGTGTTGTCATTACTTATAAATTCACAAGGGAATGGCATAAATAGTAGGGAAATTTAGTCTTGAAATAATTGACCCGATTCTATTTCCTGCTAACATTATATATTATTATTTGATTATATGTTTCAGCCAACGCCCAGCGTGTTGAGAAGGTGTCATTACAGCAGATACAGGAATTAATACACAGAGTAGAAGAGGCTCTAGGGTTACTGAAGGTTCTGGTTGATCATCAGTTCCATACCATGGCTGCTACACTTTCAAAAGTAACCTATGCTTTTAGTAACAATGTTTTCCAGTGGAATAATCCGCATATTACAGAAACTCCACTGAGGTCCAAAAGCCTAAAACATGTAAAAATTGAAATTGATTGAATAAATCCACAGGGATACTGAAAACTTAAAGATATTCAAATGATTATAAAGATGTTTACTAAAAGATTGATTTAAAATCATATTTTTTTGCGAGTTTTGGTCCGATTTGAGTCGAAAGTCATTCAGCTCTTATTTTTTTTTTGGTAACTTTTTTGCTATTTAAATAATTATTCTGGAAGAATGGAGTGAGCAAATGATATAAAAATTTTAGTCGCAAGTTATTGGTACAGACCTACATCAAATGGTACATAAATCTGGAAGAAATATGTTCAGTCACGTCATGCAAAAATCTTTAGTGGCATCTCTTTAAGAGCCTTGTTACATATTATCAAGATATTGTTGTGATTTGATTGAAAAATTTATCAAGACTTATAGAATCTGAATGACTACATTGTTAAAGTAATCAATTTAATGTGCTTTGCCATTTTTCCTCATCTTCATAATAAGATTTTAATGTACTATTTTTGCCATTATTATGTTCTTGAAAATTTGAAATAAGCGCATTAAATTTTTTTATGTCAGTCTTATTTGAAGACCCAAATGAGGGCAGAAATGTAATACCAAAAAGTGTTAATTGATGCAAATATGGCAATGTAAACAATTGATGTCATGTGACAGACGTATAAAGATGTAATTTGAATCTAAAATTCTTTGCATATAAATTTCTTTTTTTCAGGATGAACAAAATCAACTAAAATCACTGACATTCAAAGAATTTGTCATCACAGGAAAAGAGGTAGGTTTACAATTCTAGAATATTTGATATTTTAAACAAGCATGCAAAATTATTTCAATGATTAAGAATTTTATGTAACCCTTAGGGACGTATTTTACACAGAAATTATCCATTGCCTGTAACAAAATGAGCAAAAATTTCTTCTCTCTTTAGTTCCCTGAAGAAATGTCAAATTAATTTATCCCATCAGCCATTTTTACTGGAAATGATATAAGGAATATTCAACATTGAGAGCTTGTACTAGAAATAAGTTGCCAGTGTAAATTAAATTTAAAATGTAAAATTGTAATCCAACTCATTATGACAAGTATTAAAAATAAAGTTCAATATGCATCATTGACTTTGATTTTCTATATCTGACTTTTGAAAGTGATTCTTTACTTAATTATACCCCCGCACAACAAAGTTGTAAGGGGGGTATACTGGAATCAGCTTGTCCGGCCGTCCGTCCGTCGGTTTTTTCTTGTCCGCCCAATAACTTAAGATTCCTTTGACCCTTAGTCTTCATATTTGGCATGGAGGTTAGTCATGATTAGTAGATGACCCCTATTGATTTTGAGGTCACTAGGTCAAAGGTCAAGGTCACAGGGGCCTTGACTTCAAAAAGCTTGTCCGCCCAATAGCTTAAGATTCCTTTGACCCACAGTCTTCATATTTGGCATGGAGGTTAGTCATGATTAGTAGATGACCCCTATTGATTTTGAGGTCACTAGGTGAAGGTCACAGGGGCCTTGACTTCAAAAAGCTTGTCCGCCCAATAACTTAAGATTCCTTTGACCCTTAGTCTTCATATTTGGCATGGAGGTTAGTCATGATTAGTAGATGACCCCTATTGATTTTGAGGTCACTAGGTCAAAGGTCAAGGTCACAGGGGCCTTGACTTCAAAAAGCTTGTCCGCCCAATAACTTAAGATTCCTTTGACCTACAGTCTTCATATTTGGCATGGAGGTAAGTCATGAGTAGTAGATGACCCCTATTGATTTTGAGGTCACCAGGTCAAAGGTCAAGGTCACAGGAACTTTGACTTCAAAAAGCTTGTCCGCCTAATAATTTAAGATTCCTTTGACCCACAGTCTTCATATTTGGCATGGAGGTTAGTCATGATTAGTAGATGACCCCTATTGATTTTGAGGTCATCAGGTCAAAGGTCAAGGTCACAGGGGCCTTGACTTTAAAAAGCTTGTCCGCCCAATAACTTAAGATTCCTTTGACCCACAGTTTTCATATTTGCGATGGAGGTTAGTCATGATTAGTAGATGACCCCTATTTATTTTGAGGTCACCATGTCAAAGGTCAAGGTCACAGGGACTTTGACTTCAAAAAGTTTGTCTGCCCAATAACTTTAGATTCCTTTGACCCACAGTCTTCATATTTGTCATGGATGTTGGTCATGACTATAAGGTGACCCCTATTGATTTTGAGGTCACTGGATCAAAGGTCAAGGTCACAGGGACCTTGACAAAAAAAGCTTTTCTTCTCAATTGCTAAAGTATGTCCTGTCCGCAATGTATTGATTTTGACATTTTCACATTTGAAGCATGTAGAATACATAATTTAGCAATGCACTGGCTTAGTAACCTCAGATTTGGCAGGGAGGTTGTCCTTGAGCTCTAAATGGCCACTGTTGATTCTGACAAAGTGGTATGCGGGGGTATTCACGCCATGATAGTGGCAGTTCTAGTTTTAAATAGATGTGTCATTTCTGTATTACTGGTAATTTTATGTGCATATAACAGCTTTATTGCACATTGATTTAATGTTTAATCAACAGTTACATTGCCAATGTGTATAAAACTTGCATGTATATTACAGCTATGTGGCACATTGATTCAATGTTTAATCAACCGTTACCTTGACTACATGTGTATAACTTGTATGTATATTTCAGCTATGTGGCACATTGATTCAATGTTTAATCAACCGTTACCTTGACGACAATGCTACCACAGATGCCATTAGTAGTAGACTAAGAGAAATATGTCCATCATTATACAGCACAGATGATGCTACTTGTTCTAAGGTATTAATAACATCATTTTAGCGATAATTGCGGTCAGTTAACTTCTATAGTGTTTGCCTTGTTGCCGCCTTGCCAGAGCGTCTATCTTGTATCTGAGAGGTCCTTGGTTAGATTACCAGCTATGTCAGACCAGTGCTATATGTTTTTATGTGTGCTTTAAAAATACACAAGCTATCATAATTTAAGACAAAATGATGAAACTCAGAAGCCATCTTGGACATCGTTTTTAATTCCTCAACCAGCATCAACTTCAGTACAAAATATTGCAAATATTTAAATAACCATCCTGATTTTTTGGATGCTCAGTCCGCTCACTAAGCTTGATAGCAGAGCATAGGATTTTCCTGAGGCCATGGGTTTAATCCATGGCGAGGAAAAATTTATCTTGAATATTGATCTCTGATACTGAGTCTAATGGTCAATTGTCTCTCACTGCAGATTTAGAAATCATGCTTGGTGAATAATGGTTGCTTAAGGAGTAAATAAAAAATGACTGGTTAGTTACCCAGGAAAGCTGGCTAGGTGGATCAACCACTGAGATATGTCAGAAGTACATGTTGAAATTGGCGGAAAACTAAACAAACATACATGGATTTTGAGACAGTCTTTCTTATATTTTCCTCACCACTTATTTTTAAAACTGGGTTTTTTTACATTGAATGGAAAAATGTAGAACCATGTATAAAATAGGAATATTTTTTTACAGGCTAATGAAATGTTACAAGCGGGGAAGATAAGTCAGAGTCCAGCAGAAAGACGTCGCCATCTTGTTGAGGCACTCCGGGTAAATAGTTTCAACACTTTTCTTGTATCTCTGGTTTTAAAGAAAGCTGAAAGCTTTAAACAAGAGTAAATCACTGTGACTATCTGTGGACAGTTTAATACATAATTGAATAACAAGTTCTTTTATGGGAAAAGAAACTAAATGTATCTTGTTGGAAAGGGAATAATCTAAAAAGTTATCTTTACATGGATTTTGATTGTATACTATTTTTGTTGGTTTTTATTTTTGCTATTATTATTTGCAATATTTGCTATTGTTTTTATTGACAGTTGTATAAAAGTGTATCACAGCCGCTGCAATTAGCTGAGGTGTGTAATCAGTTCTCGAGTGTACAGTTTTATGAGGGTATAGTAGATCTATGTCTTACCATGGCAAATAAACGAGACCCGCAGAAACTTGCGTTACATTTTTACAACAATGACGAACCCCCGGAAGATATGCAGGGGGTACAGGAACTGATGGCACGGTAAAAATGCTTGACATGATTATGTTTAAATATATTTATTCTAGGTCAGATAAGATGAAAGTAGGTTGTATGAATTTATACAGAAGTTATCCTGTCTGGTTAATTTACATAACAGGTGTAAAGCATTAATAAATAGGAACTTAGTTTGTAAGGTTTTGTCTGAGACTCCGTTAGTATTGTTACTGGTCAAGCAGGGGGTCAAACCGAGTATTTATTTATTTATTGGTATGAGCGTTAGCATTGGACCAAGCTCTTCTAAATTTTTATTTAATGGCTAGTCTTTTTTTTTTTTTTTCTCTTTTATTTTTCAATCAAAATATACAAACATTCAAATCATAGTACATGTAATGAATACATAAAAAATAATGTCAATTCAATGTTATCAGATTATGACAAGTATATTTGTATGTTAAGATCTTTTTATAAAAGATTTTGACAGAAGAAAATGAGTGCTAAGAAGAACTGATAGTACTATAAAGTGCATAGTAAGTAAGAATGAGAGAAAAGAAAGTGTATAAAAGAAAGGAAAGATAGATGAAGAATGAGAAGAAAAAAAAAGAGAGAGAGAAAAGATAAAGATTAGTTATGTCCCTATTAAAAAATAGTTGGAAAAAAAATACATTCATAATGATATTTTACAAAGCTAATACTTAGTAAATAAATGGAGAAAATATAAGGAATTGACTAAACGGAGATAAGAATTGAAGATCGTTTCCTTTTCTATTTGTATATGCATAAATTATATGTCTAAATTGTGTGGTTTTGGGGTCTGTAAAAGTTAAGTTTCATTGAAATTTGACCATTTTTCTTCAAAATTTTGTAGGTTGTCTTGTATTAATGATATTTCTTTTTCAATTCTAATCCTGTAAGAGAGAAATGGCATAAATTTTCAAGAGTGGGTATATTTTTGCTATATTTCATTTTAAATATGAAATATTTACACAGAATTATGATAAAATTTACCGTGTTATGTTTACCTAATATACCGAAACACACCTGTCTTAAGTTAAGAGGTATTTCATAACCTTTAGAGAATAAAAATGTTTGAATTTTGTTCCAGAAAACTTGTGTTAACTGACATTCCCATATTAAATGTTCAATAGATTCTATCTCCATTGAACAAAAATCACACAAATTGCTAGATGATAATTTGCATTTAAAAAGATATTTATTTGTTGGGACTAAACGCATTAAAAATTTGTATTGAAAACTACGAAGATTGGTGTCGATTGTAGACTTAAAAGGTATATTAAATATAGGTTTCCAATCTATTTCATTGTCATTAAATATGTTTTCCCATTTTATGGATGCAGTTGGTTTTTCAACAGTTATTGCATTCATTTGAAGTTTATACAACAGCTGATTTGGTGACTTTGTTTTTTTTAGTTTTTCTATTAGAACATCTTCTTTATTCTTATAGAGGAAATGCATTGAAATATTTTCTTTAAGGCACTTTGGGATAGCTGAGATTAATTGATGATATTTTAAATAATCTTGTGTATCAAGATTTAGAAGTTGTTTTGCTATTTCAAATTTGTAAAAGGCTTTTGTGCGAAAATCAAAGAGTTGGTCTATATAATTTATACCTATTTCGTGCCATTTTTTCCAGTAAATTGTATTTTGTTGTAATTTTTATCTCAGTATTGTTCCATATAATATGTTTTCTAATTTCATATCCATTTATATTAGAGGGAGTTTACTATAGAAAACCATGAAATTAAGATATCTCTTAGAAATGTATTTGTTTTACAGATTCTTGAAAACATCATGAGAACTAAGATTACATTCAAAAATAAATTTACCACCAAATGGTTTTAATATATTCTCAAAGAAGGCTTCCCAGTGTCCGTTGCTTTCATTTGAAATCAATCTCTTTACCCAGCAAGCTTTAATTGAAGTTTAAAAATGATTTTATATCTGTTAATTTTAATCCTCCTGCATCATAGTTGTTTATAATAGTTTTACGCTTAATTTTATCTGTTTTACCATCCCATAAGAAGTTAAAAAATTGCTGTTGTTAATTCTTTAATAGTATGGTCAGGTGGGTTTTCAAGAACTGTAAATGGATAAATTAATTTTTGGTAATGCAAATGTTTTAATTACTGTGACTTTGCCCATCAATGTTAGTTTACGGTGTTGCCACTGTTTTAAGCATGTTTTAAATTCTTGTAGTTTTGGTTCTAAGTTAAGCATATTCATTTTGGAGTCTGTGTAGAAAGTTATGCCAAGTGTTTTTCGCATGTTTTGATGTCCAAGTGAAATTCATATTTTCTGCATATTTTAAATTTATTGTTTTGAGGGCTCCAACCTTCAATACAACTGATTTTGATGTATTTAGTTTGAGACCAGATATATTTCCAAATTCATTAATGACTTTAATGAGTTTTTCAAAAGAATGTTTTTTTGTCCGTTATTTATATATGTTGCATCATCAGCAAATAATGTCTGTTTTTATTTCTTTATTATTTATTAGAAATCCCTGAATTTCATTATCTTTTGCAATCCTGTTTGTTAGAAGTTGAATACATATGATGAATATGGAAGAAGAAAGGGACATCCTTGTCTTACTCCCTGTTGAATATGAAAACTTTCTGACATGTGACCATTATTTATAATTACACACTATTAATTTTTGTTATAGAAGAGTTTAACCCATGAAATAAGAGATTCACCAAACTGAAAATAGTGAAGACATTGAACAATAAAATCATGATTTAAGCTATCAAATGCTTTTTGATAATCAGAGAAGAAAAGAAGACCAGACTTGTTATTTTTTTTCAATATGTTTCTATTATTTCAAATATTAGTCGTACATTTTCTCCTATATATAGCGTCCTTTCATAAAACCTGTTTGCTCATGACTAATTATTTTATCTAATACTTTCTTTATTCGAATAGTAATTGCTTTTGTAGCAATTTTGTAGTCAATATTTAAAAGGCTTATAGGTCACCATATTTGAAAGTGAAATTTGGTGCTCTACTTTCCTTAGGTATTAAGGTTATTATACTTTGTTTTTGAATTTCTGATAGTTCACCTTTTCTGTAGGCATAATTAATACAGTTCACAAAATATGTTTTTATATTTTATTCCAAAATATCTTATAAAATTCTGTAGTAAGTCCATCAGAGCCAGGTGATTTGTTATTTTTCATTTCAAAAAGAGCAGTTTTACATTCATTTTCACTTAAAAAAACCTTCACACATTTCTCGTTCTTCATTTGATAATTTATTTGTATTATCATCAAAAAAAAAGAATATCTGTTTCTTTCTGTGGAACTTTAGTGTACAATAATTTATAATATTTCACTTCTTCTTGTAAAATCTGTTCAATATCAAAAATTTCTTTACCATTTATAACTAGTTTCTTAATACTTTTTTTCTCAGCATGTCTCTTTTCTAAATTAGCAAAATATTTTGAGTTCTTTTCATTTCCTTCAACATGGATAGCTTTTGATCTTATTAATGAACCATTTATTTTCTTTTCATATAAATTTTCTAATTCATTTTGTTTTATGGATATTCTTTCTAGTAGATCTTTTTCGTCCTTATTATCGGTATTATAATTATTATTATTACTAATTTTATCCAATGTTTGATGTGCCCTATTTAGATAAGCTAATTCTTTAATTAAAGTGTTTTCTAATTGGTTCTCATTTTTTCTTTTATGTGTAGAATATTTTATTGCTAGTCTTATTTTCTTTAACTGTTCATAATATTGCGTTATTATGTTCTAATTAAATCTTGATTTCCTGGAGATCTTGTACCTTCAGTCTAATTGTCTTTTTTTCTCTCATCAAATATTTAGAAATCATGTGGGATTAGTGGTCAGTCACTAGGAGAGAAAATTGGTAATTACTGGTTAGTTATCCAGGGAAACCAGGTAAATCAACTGCAGAAATATGACCAAAAAAAGTTAAAAATATACTTAAATATCTAGAAAAACAAACAATTCTGAGGCCGTATTATATATACATCAAAGATTCTTGGAAGAATGAAATATTTTACAGGAAAGAGTGTTATAAATGTATAACGGAGACATTAGGTTACCTGATGACAGCCAGTGTACCCCAAGGTGCTAGTGTTATACCAAAATCTCCAGGACCGCCCCCTGCTGTCGACAGTAGTCGTATGTCCATAGAGGATGCTGAACAATATGTGAGTACCAATGTCAAAAATATTTGTCATTTACAGGAGCAAAGATTTCAAAAGTAAAAAAAAAAAATGTTTTATAGTAAGTAAAGTAAAAGGATCAAAGTAAGTTACTTTGGCTGCAATAAGTTAAGATTAAGTCAAGTCATTGGTTTCTGTGGCAAGTGTGGTGAATGTCACCTACTCTATCTCCTAAAGCTGAGAGTTTGAATCTTAAAATCTACATGTGACAATGCTATTGAGCTTGCTCATAGAAGAATAGTGATTATATTTTGGTGCCAGAAATTATGCATAAAGAAGCATCTAAGGTTGACCTACAAAAAAGTCAAAATATCACCATATGATCTTTACAGTTTCAGTGATATTTAAAACCAAACCAAATAAGAAAGTTTTTAAAGAAATTTAAACATATTATTTATTGACTATGATTATTCACTCACTATGGGCTTTATGTTAAGACAAATCCAGTCAAAGATGTATTCAAATGTTATACTGAAAAATGTCTTTATATTTCAATGCAGAAAGCAGAGGTATTCCGACTTGCGTTGAGGTCTGATGATGAATTGTTCCACGTGTCCTTATACGACTGGCTTTTCAGTATGAACATGACTGAAAAATTATTAGAGGTAAGTTACTGCATTTAATATGGTGCTGTTTAAATGATTTGATGATCACACATTATAAGGGTTACTTGTCAGATTTTATTCAGCAATGAGCATGTCTTGGGTGATGTTATATCATATTAAATCTTTAAAAGGTGACATAACAATTTTCCTACAGGTGCCCCTAGATGGAAAACAGGCTTATATGCAAAGTTTAGTGAAAATTTAAATATTTTTCCCCTAGATTTTAATATTCTTTTTAATTTGAGGGTAAAAAAACCCTTTCCCCTTAAAACTAAATTTAAATGGGTTTTTATGTTTTTAACCCAATTAAACTTCCCGAAATTTTTTTAATGGAAATTTTCCCTTTGGTTTTTAAAATTTGGGAAAAAGTTCATACAAAAAATTTAAAGGGGTTTTTTAGTATCAAAAATTTCAAAAATTTGGGTTCAATTACTGGGACCAACAGTATAGAGTTCCCGGTCAGACGCACAGAAAATGGACTGGGTTAAGATTGGGAAAGATAATTTTTTTGGTGAATTTAATATTTAAAACCCTCTTCATTGTTTTTCTTGGGGGGAAAAAACAAGACAAAAAAATTTTATTTGTAGATCCAGTCACCATTTTTGGAGCGGTTGAAGTTTATTTGATAAAAGTGAACATTTAACTTTTTTCATTGTTTGCTTGAATTTTTTATCTTGGGGGAAAATTGATTACAATGTGATTTTTTTTTTGTAGATCCAGTCGCCATTTTTGGAGCAATATTTGAAACGTCGTTCAAGCTACCAGTCTGGTGATGTAGCTGCGCTTGATTTATTGTGGAAATATTACGAGAAAATTGAAAACTATCCTGCAGCTGCGAGAATATTAACCAGGCTAGCTGAAAGACATGGGTAAGTGTGCTATTTGACTTTTTACAAATGAAAAATCATTCTTTTAAACTTAGAATTATTGGATTAGCATTGAAGGGAAATCAATTAACAGTTTCAGGGTAAATGTTTCCTCACAATGTAGATGATACTTGTTGGCTCTTAACTGGCTAGTGTAGTGTAATTAATTGCCACTGCTTTGGAATTTGATGAAGTTCCGTATCAAAATACTGAAATTGAGTAGCCATCAGTATATAGTCTTGTTAGACTTTAAGGTATTAGGACCCTAATGGGCACTATCAAGAACTAAAAAATTGACATCATAGGTCAGATGTATACCTTAAAGTACACCTGTATGCAAAATTTAAACAAAGTTTACCGTACGGAAATCAAGTTATGGCCACTTTTCTGAACTCAAGCTAGGATGTTATGAGGGCCCTTTTTTAGAAATGAGGAACCTTTAAATAATCTGCAATAACATTCTAATCAAAAATGTTTTCCCATTAATTTTTGGTAAGAAACAAATAGTACCATTCAGCTAACAATCCACATAAGCAAAATTATAGTTTCTACTTAAAATTTATGAAATCTGTATAAAAATGTTACCCTACCCCACCCATTTTTACCACATGTATGACCATTTTTCTACTTAGGGGCCTAATTTAAAAAATTCTTAAAATTTACCCAAATGAGTGCCTGTTTTCAAAGTTTCCCTAAATTTTTAAAAAAGTATATTGGTTGATCTTGTAAAATATGAAATACTTTTACCGTCTAGTTTTGATTATATTACACTTTGAAAATATCAGGTACCATATTTATTACTAGATTTAGCATAATTTAGCCAATAAATACCTATATAAATTTAAAAAATCAAAATTAAACACTTTTCTTTCCAAATGGGACATGAGAGATACATAAATAATGTTAAAAGAAAAAAAGAAAGAAAGAAAAAGTTGACCCTTCTGGGGATTGAACCCATGGCCCTCATTTTCAATGTAGTTAACAGTAGTTCTAGCCTATTTGAATACTCTTCAAAGCGGAGGTAATGCATTAGGATGCTAATACCTTAAGGTAGTGCGGTTCGCTCTGATTTTACTAGTTGCTTCAAACTTTATTATTGCTGCTGGTACTAGAAACCTTCATTTTAAATGATGGGTTTTGTCTTCCTGCTGTAACTGTTTCTTATCTGATATCAGGTGTCGGATGTTGCTGAAATCAAATTATGTTTTTAAAATTAATGATGGAATATTCGTTTTTCCACCATGACTACATAAAACTACTGCCTTTCCTAGGTTTTATTATGAACAATTATCCCTCTATTTTCCCCCTTGTATTGCAGCACTGATCTAGATCTACAGAAGCGTATTGTTTTGCTGTCTCGTGCAATCATGTGTGCTAAGAGTTCATCATCTAGGTCAAGCTCTGCGGTGGAGGGAGAATTCTTACATGAACTAGAGGAAAAAATGGAGGTAAGGTTGGAATTGAGATATCATTTTACATGTCGGAGTCTTACTTATCTGAACTCTCACAAATAAAACTTTTTTGGGGAGTTTTGACGAGTTTAGATTAGACAGTTTAGATTAGACAGGTTTCATTGTGCATTGATTTCAAAGCCTTCAATAGCTGAGGGTTAATCAATTGTGCCTCAATGCTGTAGGTTTTAGTCCCAGCCAAGGATTCTTTCTGGTGAGGAAGCAATTCAGCTAGCTTACAGAATGTAGAAGGTTCGGCTGAGGACTTTCACAAGTGCCCACTCTTGCCTGGAAGGAAGCAGAGACAGTCCTTCACCAGCAGTAAAGCTAAAAAATCATAACCTAGTTTTTTTGACCTAATGAAAATATTGCTATTTAAATGTTGTATGTATATATCTATGTAAGTTTTAATAGTCCATTGATTATACAGATTCAAGCCAAACCTCTTACTAGAGCCCATGCTTTTCTTTATACTATGTATAAGATTTAGTGTATTGGTCAAAAATGTTAAGTCTAGGTTGAGGACTATGATAATTGGTACAAAGAATTATTAAATTGATCACTTTATTCTGTTTAGATTATCATCAACATCATAAGGGGTGTCCGTGGCTGAGTGTTGAAGGTCGTTGACTTCAAAGTACTTGCCCCTCACCTCTGTGGGTTCAAGTCCCAACAGGGACTTTAGATTCTTTCATGTGCTTACTGAACGTCAGTGGTTCTACTTGGGGACCGGCTCGTGCCAAAAATAATGCACGGAAGGGCATCCTAGGTCTTCCTCAACCAGTAAAGCTGAAACCTCGCCATATGACCTATACTGTGTTGGTGTGACGTAAAACCCAATCAAACATCAAACGAATAAACATCATGTCATTTGAACTTGAAAATGAAATGTAAATTTGAATTTTTCAGGTTGCTAGGTTACAGATGAATGTTCTCCGAGCACTAACACAGGAAACAGTTGGTGGTCCTGATGTACAGGAAGCTATGTCTCGGTTAGAGTCAGATCTCCTTGACATAACTATGGTAATATACTCGTCTGTTATGGTAGATCATTAACGAAGCTTATAATGCTAAATAGCAAACCATTTGCTTGGGAAGAAGTACATTCATAAATTTTATTACCATGCGAGAGTAATAATTAAGCAATTGTACAGTATTGTATAGTACAGCATGGGCCTTTGAGCTGCAAGACTCGGAATCACTTGCCCCTTTGCCCTGCAATGCTCTAAGTTTAAGTTCCACTAGAAACATAAAAAAAAAAATGTTCTTAGAAGCTATCCAGCTAGTCTACATGAGGTTAGTGGGTTTGTGATTGTGCTTTAAAAAACCTTTTAAAGTTTTGATCATTTTGTCCTAAAGTGTATAAAACTGTCTGTTGATAGTATGATTATTAATTATTAAAATGATTACAGAATATCTAGATTGAAAGAAATCTGTCAGTATTTCTTATTGACAACAAGTGGGGCACGCACGACCTACGGGAAAAAAACTGCAGAATACTTTGTTAATCTGTTTACATACAATAGTCATTTATATTAAATTACAAAGATATTCTATGCAACAAACATATATTTCAAGGAACGGCCATCAGGATTTGTAAACAACATAATTTTAATAATTTAAAATTTTTATTAACATATGTCATCAGATAGAGCTTAATACACTTTAAGATATTAATCCTATATATAGTCAATGTTATGTATGACATTGACACTAACATGTTTCATGTTTATTTCAGTTGTATGAGGAGTTTGCAGATAGATTTGATCTTTCTGAATGTAAATTATCCATTGTTCATTGTGCTGGGCTATATGATAACGCTCTTGTTGAGAATCTGTGGCAGAGTATTATAGATAAAGGTAAGTTCCTATATTATAGTCCAACCTTTTTTTGATAAACTTGACTATTTGAAGAAAAGGGAGAGCTATTGTACTCGCTCAGGCATCATCACACACTTTGGGTAAGTTTTTTCATGCAAGGAAATTAGTTGAAATTTCACAGAGTTATTTCAGAGATAGAATGTAATTGTCCAAGGCCTATAACTTTAACTTGGATTTTAACAGAATTATGGCCTTTTTGAACTTAGAAAATTCTACATTATCAGGACTTATTTTATTATCAAGAACTAGGAATAGTCCTACTGAAAGATGTTGTTAAATTATTGTGCTGAACCAGTTTTTTTTCTTGTATTTTTATATTTAAATTGAAATGCAAGTATAGCTGTACTTGGAGAATAAATAATGATTATGCTTGTGTGCTTAACTTGTTTAACTCTTAGTCTACTGGTAATGATTGAATCTTCCAGTGTGACCAATGCTGAGCAGCATCAACCGGTCTGATCATGGTCTGCACCGTTAGCTGAATGAGTTTAACATTAAAATTGACACAAAAAATGACATGTATTGCAGAGGCTTCAAGTTTGTAAGTTTCGCTGTCATTTGATTTTGCAGAGTTTGAGAACACCCGTTCAAGTGCACCTCCTGTTAGAGTTAGAAACATCAGTAATAAGCTATGTGTTGTTGGCAAAACGTACATCAAGGCCGAGAGATACTTTCCTTTTGGTAAGTTGGTATTTCCTGTTTGTTTATAAAAATCTTTTATGGGAGGAAGAGTAGATAGTATGAGTGGTTAAGGCTGCTGACTTCATCTTTACTTTTGTGTGTTCAAATAAAGCTGTTTTTCTCCTATTTTTTGATTGAAATGATCAACATTCATTTTCACCTTATGCAAAATTGAGACTAATTTTCCTGTTTGTTTCTTTATTTTATTTGTTATTCTTTTATTTCATTTCATCAACATTTCTTCTTTTAACTATCATGAGATACCATCAGAAAACATATTTTTTTCCATTTAAATTTATCTTGGAGAAATCAAGGGATTCTTTCCTTTTCTCATTTGTGTTATGTGTTAAATATTTATCTGCATTCTTTTTAATTTGGTATGTCTTCATTTATTTAGTTTGATTAGTTTTTAATTCATGAATGTTCTTTTCCAGCTTTTATTGTAAAGTACCTAGAGCAAAGAAGTTGTGAATTGCAGTTGGATGTTGGCTGGGTGTTCCAGCTAATGTTAGATATTGGTATACCAGCTTTAAGGTTGCTGGAATTATATGACCGGATGTTTAAATCTAGGGTATGATATAAGTTTACTTATTCAGGCATGATTTTTTTTTTGATTTTTTTTTTCAAATTACAGTTATAATTTTACCACTGTGTGTTTTTACTAACTTCACTTCTAGTATTTTTGGGGTGTACGTGGCCGAGTGGTTAAGGTCGTTGACTTCAAACAACTTGGCCCTCACCACTGTGTGTTCTTTGGATTCTTTCATGTGAGGAAGCTATTCAGCTAGCTTACGGAACTTTGGTGGTTCTACTCAGGTGCCCGTTCTTACCTGAAATAATGCACTGAAGGGCATCTGAGGTCTTCTTCTACCAGTAAAGCTGGAACGTCGCCATATGACCTATACTGAGTCAGTGTGACTTAGAACCCAATCAAATAACTAACAAACTTCTAGTATTTTATAATTTTCAATGCAGTTATATACTGCTGTATATAACTTCACTAAGGTCAACAACAAAAAAGTTTCTGTTTTGTGTCCCATACTGTCCCTCTTTTTAAACTGTGAACCTTTACTAGTTAGTAGTAATTTTCTCCACTTCTGAAAGCAAAGCTAATGTCATCACCCTATTGGTAGTGTCAGTGTTGGTTAACTTCTTTGGTTTAGTTTTTGTTATATTCATAAACTTACTTTCATTGTTATTTTATTAAAACTCAATATGTGGATACAAATAAATGGGTTCTACATCCAAGAATATGTTATATATGTACTGCAAATGTTTATCCGCATTTTAAGTAATCATTAAAATATATGCATTCATTTCTTAGTGAAAAAATTGACTTACACTTTATCAGAAATAAATTTCTTATAACCTCCCTTTATTAACATGAAATGTAAATTCAGTAATATCCTTAAAAATAATGCTTTATTGAAACTGTCATAAGTAGATGAGAGCAGCTTTGGGTTTATTAAAAAAATTACCTGAAATAAACTGATATTTACCAATTTATTAGCATTTGTTATCCTCTAGCCTAATTATTTTTCAGGATCCATTCTGGTCATCTATCAACAGACCTCTACATCTTCTCTATGTTATACACAGTTTCCTAAACAAGCTCGTGGATAACATGTCACTTATACCTGTGTATGAAAGGTAACTAGTTTTTAGTTCAACTATTTGAAGAATAACAAGAGGTATTGTACTCACCCAGGTACTTGTGTCAATGTCTCGCTTGAAAGTTCACACACTCATTTGACTTAACTCACAGTCAAGATATGATCAATAATTTGTTGATATTTG